CAGAAACAGAATGTTTTACAACTATATTGTTCATATACTTTTAGCTGCCTTAGCACTAGGGGTTTGGAGTAAATAATATTTTTAAAGCATTTTTTTTCAAATAGGCATTGAACTATGGTTCTATGGTGAACCCTGCAACTATTTACCTACTTGTATTTCTGAGGACCTTATTACAGTAGCGTATAAATGCCTGAGATGCTTTGCTCAAAAGCTGATTTCTAGCAGCAGTAGACGGCTGGTGATTTCTGTGTAATTTTATGCCCCTCATTACCATAGTATTTGATGTCCTCATGACTATTAATGGATTTTTCCTCTTAACACTACAGTGAAATCAGCAAGTATCATTCTCCCTCTTTACAAATGGGGAACTGATGAGAAGCATGGATTAAGTGACTTACGTGAAAACCACAGGAAAGCTGTGCTGCTGCCAGGAATTGAAATCAGATGCCATGAATGCCAGTTCAATCAAGTTCCCCATATATTAAACTTTGTAAGAGGTTTTTCCTTAACATAATTAGAGACATTTTTCCTCCTTGTAACATGTAGAACCATTTTACACACAATGAGCGCATCTCTAAACAGGAGGCACATTGATAATAATTGAGTAATAGATATTACGAAATATTTTGAATGTACAAAAGAGTTAGATACATCTTTTAATGACAGCTCTTTACATGTTAGATATCTAGCCTAAGTTATTTTTCTCTGCTTCAACTTTGGCAGTTCCACAGGGTGATTCATCCTACCTATCTTAGACATCACATGTAAATCAGTATAAGTTCCCTTCTTGGGATTTTGTTTTTTCTCACTCAGTATATTTGGAGACTGTATGATTTGTTTAGGTTACATGTTTAATTTTTGAAGAGCTAAAATTGTGTGAGAAAAGATTAATTGCATCCTATCTCTACTGTTAATTATAAAAGGAGTCCAAGCAACCAGTGCAACTGTAGACATCATCACTGTGGAATAAATGTTTCGATCCTTTACAAGCCTTTTATAAATGCACCCTTAGTGTAAAGTGAGTCGTTTTGTTTCAGGCCACTGATTAAAGAATATAAATCCACGTATGTTATGTATGACTGTATTACAGCAGCAAACGTGTATATGTTGTGCTACTACATGTTTTAGTTGGTTGCTGGATTTTAAGTGAGCTAGTGTACAGGCACAAGGAAAAAGAAATTAGAAAATGACATCTCATAAATGTATCTGGACTTTGAAGGTAGAAAACAGGCTGGTAACTAGATGACAAGATGTGCAAACGCATTTAGTAGGATCTTTCCTGTCTTCAAATTTATAATTTTCTTGGCTTTTATAGTGTGAAAATCACTGATGAGAGTGCTGTACTGATCTGGCATGAGTCCTCTGCTGAACCAGTACAAAATGTCAAATTTGTTGGACAGAATACGACAGCTTTGTCCACCTTGCCAGTAGGTAGACTGGACATTTCCTTTCTGTAACTTTCTCTAACAAGAAAGACTGATTCCCTTCTTACCTATCTCCCATTTGTTGTGTTTAAAAAAAAAAAAAAAACCAACCAAAAAAAACCGGAGAGGAGACAGGAGGAATCTCGTCATGCCCTTTTATGCTAAGTTAATGACTGGAGAGCATATCCTTTATTTCAGCTGAGAATTTATTATGGAAATGCTGACAGAATCGCAGCTACAATGTCACTGGCGTTTCCTTCCATAATGAGAAGCTGCTAATGATCCCACATCCAGCACAATGTTCCCTCTTAACGGGGTAAGACAATCATCGTCTTCACCTTCAAGTCCAGTCTCTGCCCTGAAGACAAATGAGGTCAGCAGAGAGTTTTGCAGCTGTGGTTACCCATATTTCTGTTCAAGGCCACCAGAATGACTCAGAGCGCTGGGCGTGTGTTTAGTGCAGGGATCACAAACTTTGCTGAAAATTGTCAGAGTCCAGTGTTAAATATTTATGCCACACTCTAGGGACCAACATAATAATAAAACAGAAAAACACCAGTTGACTTGTTGAGCCCCGGCATTCAAGGAGACTTTGCAGACATGTCTTCTACATTTCTCAAAATACTGGTATCTTTCAGATCCAAGACCCTTAATTCAGTATTTCTTTCTTTCACACACTGAGTGATATTTTGAAGGCTTTCTTTCCTTTTTGGTTTCACTTTTCTTTTGAAAGGAAGTTTGTTTGGATTTTTTGTTAACTGACAAAGATGTATACTTCCAGTTTGGTAAACCTTTTTTTTTTTTTTTCTGTGATACAACACTTTTATGTCTATATATTACAGTGTTTTAAGAAGTCACATACTATTTTTAAAAACCCAACATAACAAGATGTGTTATGGCAACATTTGTAGAAGAATTTTCTTAAATATACCCACAAAATATGCAGTGGTGTCCCCGTCTGTGTAATTTAAAATTCTTCTTTGTATCCTTTGTGTATGAGGTTTTGGTCCTGGACTTCACTCACAGGTCCAATAGGTCACTATTGCAGGTTCTATGTGTACAAGGCGATTACACTATTGCAATTTAAAAGCAACTCGCGGAATACACTGTTGCAGCCTACAAATGATTCCCACAAGTAACACCACAAACTGCAAGCGCGCTAGATATGAACACCTTAAAAGAGTGCACCAATCCCAATCCTAATAGCATGCCATAGACCATCCGTATGTTTCTTAGTCACTTACCCTCTCTCTCAGGTAAGGTCTCTCCATCCCTGGGAAGTGACCTTGTACAGAATCTCCTCCAGGCCAGCTGGATCCTTGGAGGATTCCCACCCATCTTTCTCCCCAGACCTTGCGGTTTATATATCCTATATATCTGTGCGGGTGCAGGATCATGCCTGAGATGGTGTGATAGCTAAGTCTCCGTTGCTCATTTTGTGATGTAAATCACGGGAATAGTGGTCTGGGACTCAGGGCATTCTGTTTGTTAAGGGAGATAAGGCTCCAGTTGGTGTTGGTTTCGGTTTCGACTTAAGACAACCTCGGGTTGAGCCGTTTATCGGCTCCCCCCGAGTTATCTCAGCACAGACAAGGCAAGGCGGGATGAAGCTGAGTGGGATGGCAGCCCCCTGCGTCTCACCTAGTGTGCTCTGAAACCGGTTTGGCTGGGTGCTCCCATACAGGTCCAATTCCTTCAGTTTTCCATGTGGGATTTCTTTGGAGAGTGGTGCAGATTGGTGAGTGAATTTTTTATTTGCCAAAAAAAAAAAAAAAAAAAAAGGATCAGGATTTTTCTGAGCAGTTATGGGATAAAAATTTATGAAGCACTAAATACTGTTGTGAGTGCTGTAACATAAAGCTCTGTTTTGTGCCTTTAGCACACCATAAAGTCATTCCGCTCACAGAGAAAATTCATCCTACTCCCTTCCTCTTTGGCCTTTCGGATTTTCCTGTTTTCTTTGGGGCTGTTAGGACCAAATGCTTTCATTTATTTCACTCTACAGTAGACCAGATTTATAGGCGAATCTGAGGCCTGGTGTACAATGGTTATATAGCCACCAGTGTGGAACTGCACCAACGCAGAAACTAGGAATGGGTGTGATTTACATGTGCACAGCATGATTTGTACTTCTCAGCTTATCTCAGGCTGAAAGCAGGGTAAGTTGGACCAGGGAAAGTTATTGCAATGGCATCAGTCATTTTAGAGTAGGCGTTTCTGTCAGTGGGGATACAGTGAGCGCGTTATTTAATATTGCTGTGTGTCAGTGTCTCCATCATTAAAATGGAGGCATTTCCATGGCCTCGTAGGTTATCAAGTATGGAACTAGATGAAAACTGCAAAACCTAAAAAAATTTCCTGAGAGACCCTGGAAAAGAACTACACCTAACAGTGAAATAAATTTTTAATTTTTCTGAGCAGTTATGGGATAAAAATTTATGAAGCACTAAATACTGTTGTGAGTGCTGTAACATAAAGCTCTGTTTTGTGCCTTTAGCACACCATAAAGTCATTCCGCTCACAGAGAAAATTCATCCTACTCCCTTCCTCTTTGGCCTTTCGGATTTTCCTGTTTTCTTTGGGGCTGTTAGGACCAAATGCTTTCATTTATTTCACTCTACAGTAGACCAGATTTATAGGCGAATCTGAGGCCTGGTGTACAATGGTTATATAGCCACCAGTGTGGAACTGCACCAACGCAGAAACTAGGAATGGGTGTGATTTACATGTGCACAGCATGATTTGTACTTCTCAGCTTATCTCAGGCTGAAAGCAGGGTAAGTTGGACCAGGGAAAGTTATTGCAATGGCATCAGTCATTTTAGAGTAGGCGTTTCTGTCAGTGGGGATACAGTGAGCGCGTTATTTAATATTGCTGTGTGTCAGTGTCTCCATCATTAAAATGGAGGCATTTCCATGGCCTCGTAGGTTATCAAGTATGGAACTAGATGAAAACTGCAAAACCTAAAAAAATTTCCTGAGAGACCCTGGAAAAGAACTACACCTAACAGTGAAATAAATTTTTTATCCGAGAATTATTTTGCCAATCAGTTTAATGAAGTTTATTTTAAAAATAAAATTGGCTGGGCAATTTTTATAACCCTTTAGAACTAAAACATTATACTGTACTTCTAGCTATAGATACTTGGCAGTTTTTGTGGGTTTCCTTTCAATCTGTATACAGCATTTGTCAGTATCTGTTGTTGGACTATATTTATGATGTTTATTTATTTATGTTATGATTTATTTTTTTATATCAGTATAAGAGTTCTTGAGGTTACTTACAGAAACAGTCTGCTGTTTCCTGGATTTTACTATCCAACACAATTTTCTGGTTGTGAAAATGATACCTGTGAGTCAGAAAATATGATGTGAGTTGGAGCAGAGTGACACCCCATTCAGCGACACCGCGAAGTTCTAGGCATTGGACAAATAACCTGGACTTAGCATGTGAGAAATCAGGACAGCTGACTTGATTAGGTGGGATAGATTCAAGCTCAAAGTTTGGAGGGGGGAGAGGGGAGACACGGACTGTCGCATGCCATTGGAAGTTTAACCCCATTCTCTTGCATTGTAGTACAACCGGTACCAGCGCTATGGGGCCGAGGAGTGCGTGCTGCAGATGGGAGGAGTCCTGTGTCCAACTCCCGGCTGTGGAGCGGGTTTGCTGCCTGAACCAGGAGTGAGGAAAATTGTGTGTGAACCAGGCAACGGAATAGGCTGTGGGGTAAGAACATACACTTTTCCTACTAATGATGTGGGAAACACTTTATATTGTACCATGTTAGAATAAGGGGGGAAATGGTTTTTTTCTCCCTTTCCTCCAGTCACTCTGAATTGCCCTTCATACCAGAGTGGGATACTGTAGCTCAGTATACAATTTAAATATAGCACCATGGCTTAGGAATGATGACTTCATCGTGTGCAATCCAGAATTTGTTGCTTTATTTGGTTTAAGAAGTTGCTGAGTAGATACAGTAAGAAACTGAACAATGCAAATGACAATCCAAATCCACTTTGACTTTCTTCTCCCAGCACTCAGCAGAAATGAACAGGATCTTGAGCAAACCATTCGTTATTATATTAACACCAACTTTCTTTATAAGACATAGAAAAAGGAGAGAGAGAGAATGACCAGTCTGTGACACTGCAGTGATATTGCTTATGCATGTTAAGACACATGATGAAAAGGAATATAGAATTTTATTTTTTTTTTTCATAAAAATTGCTTTTAAGCAGGGGGAGTGCACAATTAATGGTGGATTTCTGGAAAACAAAACCAGATGACACTTGAGAATGTTGTTGCTAAGAGGTCAGATCATATGGATCAGTGATTTTTTTAGCAGTAGAAAAAAATAGGAACCTTACAAGAATCAAAGTTTGGGGGAAATGGGAATATGTAGAGACAAATCTCTGTATAAAAGAACCTATTAAATGTAAGATCACAGTGACTAACCGATGGTTGTACTAAGTGACTCTTTCCATAGTTGGCATTATTACTGAATTCCATGCATGCTATGAGAGAAGAGAAAATATCTATATTTATGAAATATTAGCATCCTCTTGCTGCTGTCTTTCTTGTGGAAAATGCACTTTTTATTACAGCTTTGATGTTGCCCAAACTGATACCATGGAAGAGTAATAGTTTGCCGAACTAGGAAGTAGCAGTAACTTGTCTTCTTTGAGTAGGTTAGCATCTGTCGACCTTGGTAAAACTTCCTATCTGTCCATGCAGTGGTGCATGTAAAGCAGAGTATTCCCCAGACTCACTGAGCAGACACAGGGCTATAAAATAAAGCAGAAGGTAGAAAAGTAGTAATAAACAAGACTGAGTAAGCAAAAAGAAATGCGTCTGAATTAACTATTAGGGATTGGTTAAAAAAGTTAAAATCACAAATAATTTTTACTCTTCTCTCTGCCTTGACGTGATGAAAATCAACCTGTGTTTTGCAGCTTTATTCATCATCATCACTAATCTGCAAATGCCCTGTAAATAAATTGTACGTAGCGTAAAGGATTGATGTATTGCCTGGTTTAGCAAGCTGCTCTGTTTCCTTTTATGGACTCTGTGCTGGGCTTGCTGGTGACCAGATCTGCAGCCTTGAGTTTAACCTCACCCTTTGTTCTGGTGTGTGTGATGTCTGGAATGTTGTGGGGTACAACTGAGTTGGGGTTCACTGAGGCTGAAATAAGAAGCAAGAGGCTGGTCTATAAGCCAAATTTTGGTAGCATTAAGACCCTTCTTCAGAATCTATAATGGAACAGGATGAAAATACATGTCTTTGAATCTCTCTTTGTGCCCTGCCACATGATAACCTCAAGGACGATTTGTCGCAGAGGATTTTCTGTGGTGAAGGCCCTAGCACTGAAGTCAGCTGCTGGTGGGACAGCTGACTGAAGGTAAGGGTCTGCCTGCAAGAACAGCATGGCAGTTAGGAAAGCTATTTTTTTTCAACTCTGTTTTCTGTAGTCACTCTGAATGTCTTCTATTCAGAAAGTTAAACTATGTAGGGTATTTCCCAGACAAAACCTGGCCTTTTTTAGCATGAAGGCCTTCCATTCTTCCTTATGGAATCCGGGTACATCCACTTCAGAGGTCTGGCTTCCCTCAACAGTATACACAAGGATTTATAAGCTCAAAGAAAGGCCCAAGATGAAGAGTGTCTTTTTGTCTATCCAAATAAAGGTAGCAAAAAATGCTTACCTGTACAGCGTAGGTTAGAGACATGTTCCTTGTTAAAGCTAATATCAAAGAAATAAAGAAGATAAGGTGAATCTGGAGATTCTCTATGAATACCTGTGTCATCCTTTAAGCTATACTTTAGATATATATAGTTTCTTTTTGGGGTATTTGAACCTCTGTCCTTGGGTAAAGTTCAGAGTCGGTAACATATTGCTAACAGCAGAAGTTACTTCTAACATAAATGATGTTATTCACCCACAAGCTCTTGTAGAGAAATATTTGTCTGCTGCACAGAACAAACTGATTGTTCAGGCCTGAATTGCAATATAACGGTGGCTAACAACTGTCAAGTATTTGGCAATTTTTATTAACTGATGAGATGGATCAAGGTAGGGAGGGGGGATAACTTTTCAAGAGAAAGTCAAGACAGTAAATGAAAAGGGTTTTCAGAAGCTGTTTTAGAAAAGGAGAGGCACAAGAAAGCAAATAGAGAATAAGCTGGCTCAGAGGCTGAGGTGAAATTAATATTCCATTATTCGGAGAGAAAATTGTGTGAGGTAGTCCCAAACATGTAAGGACTTCAACCAAATCTGAAAGAGCATTGAAAAGCAAATAGGTACCTGAGCCTGGCTTGATACAGACATTTTTCCTTCCTCGGTTTCTTTCTGTGGTATGTGAAATGAGGAACTAGAATCTTTTTTTGCAAAGTCATTGCTATTGGTGTCAAAACTAAATGTGAGTCTCCAAGAGCACGCTTTTAATTTGCTAAAAGGGCCTTTGGGAAAGTTAAAGATGGTAGTTTTGCTTTGTCTGAGGAAATTCAGAAAGAACAAAATGTGGGGGCCAGAAACAGCTTGGTAAATATCTAGACAGAGCTGTGCCAAAAAGGTGAGGAGAAAGGTTTAAATTTAAGAATCCCCATATGTACCTTGTGCAGTCAGGCATTATTCAGGCTGTCAGGCAAAGAAATAGAACAAGAAAAGAGATTTATTTTGACTTGAAAAGTAGTATGCAGATGTCTTTTTAATGATTATGAATAGTCCTCACCCACAGCCATATTGTGGTACCATTCACTGACCTCACTCTTACCTAATCTTTCATATTTTTTATCATTAGCCATAAATATATTAATTGATTTACCAAGATATTACCATTATATAATGTTGTTCTACCTTCATTACTATGCATCAGACCTATGTTACTAACTTTTATTGCTCAGATATAAAATTTTGACATATTTAATATGAGAAAACAGCAACAAAACATAGAAGACAGTACTTATTGTACCAGCTGGCTTGGGTACAGGAAAAGCTGTGGTAATCAAGCCATACAAAAGCTCTATGAATAAAACATTTTTGTCTTGTTTTATATGATACTGGCATATTATTTCCTAAATATTAGGGAAAAGTTTGGAGTTTAGAACAGGTAAGAAGTGAGCTTCAAAAGGGACTATACTACCTGTTTATTAAAAAGTTTCTACACATGTGGTTTCTACACACAGAGCTCATCTGTCATGCAAAACATCCACTGTCAATATCTTTCAGTGGGATGACAACTCATGTGTGATTGAATCCCAGCCCTTGCTCCGCAACGATATAAACATTATGCAGCATACAATATCAGTTGACCTGTCCCTTGGAATGGGGTGAGATGGGAGATTGGGGATAGTGGAGACAGAGGCCCTGTCAATCTTTTGCCTTTGAGTTTATTCATTCCTAGTGTGGTCTATGTAAGTAAGAAGAAGAATGGATTTCCAGAGATCTTCTGTGGTTTGATAATCCTTTGCTAGGAGACCTGACCCTTGAAGCTATAGCCAGGTTGATGGAGGTTCTGAGACCAGTCCAAACTACCCTAAGGTCTGGGGGACAACTTAAATGATGTTAGGAACAAGCTGTCATAATTAATGTTTTTGTGGCCCTTCATTCGGATCCCCTAATGTGAAATTCCAGTCTGCAAGTCAGTACTTAAACTTAGTGTATTGAAAGTATGATGATAAGGGAAGTTTTATAGCCTTGCAAAGGGAGCACAAAATCTGGGGTTATTTCACCTCTTTTTACACCATATTTACTGTCCTGTAAGCATAATGCCATTGAAAAACATCAAGATTTCACAAAAGATGTGTTCCCTTCTAGGATAGGTGAAATTTTAAGACTGCAGACTGCAAGAGGTCCCTGAAAAATCAATAGATATAAACACCGTGTCTTCCTTATAAATAGAATTCCTAGGCCATTGTATTGCATAGAACAAAATCCCTTAGGCAATTTCACTCTTCCCAGCAATTTTTCCCCATTGATTTCTTCTTTCATTCTTTTTCCATAGCTAAGGAAGCACATGTCAAAAGCAATTGAAGCATATTGGTAGAATTAATAATTGTCTGCCATTTCAAAAAGCTGAATAGAATAGAGAATACTCTAAAAGAGTTACATGAGAAGTGCAATGCACATTCCTGTTGTTCACAAAGCTCTTTTTTGTGGTTCACTGTGTCCTGTTCATGCATTTCCTAGCATGTATGTTTCATCTTCAGTGATGTTTTTGATAAGCACAACAATATGCATGTAGGCAAACCCTGAATAATTGGGAAAAATACTTTGTTTTGAAGAGAAAAATCTGAATTATAAAAACTCCAAGAAACATGATCCTAGTCACTTAATTTTGATAATTCAAATGATGACTTTGTTAGCTGGGTGCATCCTTCTACATTTCTGGAGTGGGGTTGTTTAAGGCCTTTGACACGGTCCCTCACAGCATCCTGCTTGCCAAACTGGAGGGGTACGGATTTGATGGGTGGACTGTTCAGTGGATAAGGAATTGGCTGGATGGTTGCATCCAGAGGGTGGTACTCAATGGCTTGAAGTCCGGATAGAGAGCAGTGACAAGTGGTGTCCCTCAGGGCTCCGTGCTGGGACTGGTACTGTTTAACATTTTTATCCATGACATAGACAGAGGGATTGAGAGCACCATCAGCAAGTTTGCAGATGACACCAAGCTGTGTGGTGTTGTCTATACACCAGAGGGACAGGATGTCATTCAGAGGGACCTGGACA